CAGGAATGCAATAACAACTTATTTAAGAATAGGCTACTTCCTTTCTTAAAAGGAGAATTCCATGTAATTTTTTTTACTGTAACTAGCAAAAGAACAGCATTTTTCATAGAATATAAACAATACTAGCCCATGAAGCTGCAAGGTTATGCCTACATTAGGAACATTGATAAAAGCTATACCAATGTTGTGACTCAGACAGCCAATATTTCTACTCCATCAGTTTCTTAGGCCAATGGGAATTTAAAAGATACATGTATTAGTAATGAATATGCTATATATGCTGGGGCATTTTTTAACGTCCAAGATATTTGTTCTGCATTGTGTGTGTAGAGCTTCAAAGGACAATTTACACACAAGATACATGGATAGGAGACTGGAGGTTTCAGAAACAAATGATGGGGCTCGTGTCTAGTAAAAAGTGTTTAATGTAATTTCATATGCCTTATAATACCTTGCCTAATCTCGAACTGCTGATCTGGAAGGCTGAAGGTCTGCTATATGTATTTTCTCTTTTCTATCTGCCCTGCAAGAATATCTTGTGGACATCTCTGGTGACGAGCATTTAGGCATCTGCATACTTTCAATTCTTTTTGCTGGTAGTACACTTCCCAGAGAATGAAGCAAATACGAACATGAAGGAAATATAAAAAAAAAAAAATTAAAAGCATACTTTGGCAATCCTGGAGCTTGATATCATATTTATAATCAATGCTTGTCTGATCGGTTCTTGCAAGAGGAATATCTTCATAGTGCGGTGAAGAAATGCTTGAAAAATCAACAGTGGTAAATGGCTTTATGTCAAAGGAATGTGTATGATCATCCATCGCAGACAGATCCACTGGATTAATTCCAAAATTAATGGGCCAAAACGGCATTTCTGTGTCAACCATTGTAATCCCTGAAAACAAAAAAAAGAAACAAACATTTTAAAATAAGCTAGTTATCTCTGTAAAGAGTTCAAGCCCAAGCTGAGGTCCAATTGTCTCGTGTCCGAAGGGTTGAGACGCAAACTCACAACCAGGTGTAGGTTTTAGGGGAATGTTTAGGCCCCATCTGTCATTTGGCTTGAGTTTGTCACCATATAATGCATTAGGCTGTACAGTAACACTGCATGGCTAACACTGGTCCATTAACCCTGCTTCGAGGTTCTTCTTAGGAAGGCTCTGATGTCTCATGTCATAAGAGCAAATGAGATTTGCTGGCATCCAGGGTTCAGGCTAACCTTAGAACAGAATGGCTGTCTTCAGTATGCTACTGGACTGAACTGATCTGATCTGTACTTCAAAAGGCAGCAGAGACAACTAGTGGGCTCAGAGAACAATGGTTAGATGAATAATTGACAAAAATAAATATGGGAATAAAAACTGTCTAAATACTTGTGAAAGGCCAGATGAAATACAATTGCATTTTAAGAGTATATGTTATAGAACATTTATGTGCTTTAGTAAGCATGCAAGTCATTTAAAAAACAAACAAACAAAACCCCAACGAAACAAAACCCAATGATGCAAAATTAAAGCAGCATAACTGGAAAAAAGTTTGTCACTTTTTTTTTTTAATAGATTAACACTGACTTTAATTGCATCTCTCAATAGCATGCATATGAATAGAAGTCTTCCACAATTAATTTTTCAGTTTTGCAAATTCTAATTATCCTTCTTCCCAAGTGCCTGAAAATCTTAATGATTTTTATACTAAGAGAAGAAAAAAGTAGTTGGTATTAAATAGTGGTGTTTTTCCTCCAAATAACCAGAAATATTTGAAATCTTTACCCATTCAAGTATGCCAAAATTTTTATCCCAGAGTCTTAAACCCAAGGCTTAAGGAAATTTAATTTATGACTTTCCAAATTCCATATGTATTTATGCAGATCTTGAAAGTAGTAAACAAATAAAAAGCTTCAATCTGCAAAAATCTTCAGCAAATCAAGTGAATATAGATTGAGATATGAAATGTTTTTCCAAGTTCTGTTCTGAAAGTTAGCTGAACCAAAATCCTTGATTTAAACATGTTTCAACTATAAAAAAAATTCTGTAAGCAACAGCAAGTGTAAAACACTTACTGTTTTATAAGTAGGGTCTGTCTTTAATTTTCCATAATTTATAAAAAGAAAATTCTGATCTATAGAGTAGATGTTATGGATCTAAAATAATTTGGTCACTTTGGCTCTTTAATTTGGACTTTAGACCCAATCAAATAGCCTTTAACCTCTAGATAACAGGAACTTTGATTTGGTCTGCTTTTGATTCAAAACTACTCTGTCGCACTGCCAAAACTGTTGTTGCAAAAGGAATATAATGGAGCAGACCTGCTCTATAATTGTGAGATCATCCTTTGTTTTGACATGCCTACAGGTAAGTAAAACAGTGACTCTCCTCCCCATCAACTATGCTGAAGTGCTAAGGTAGTAATGGCTAAAAACGGTTACAGTTCCCTAATCTTTCCTCAGGAAAGTCACTGTCACTCTTCCACCTTTTAGAACTCACAGCACAACCCTTTAGTTCTTCTGTCTTGAACACTGACAACAACGGGTGTAAGCTTTCTTTTTTATTCTTAGCTTTCAGATAAGAAATTCTCACTGCAGTAGGAAAAAAACCAGATGCTACCATATCCCATGCTGCACAACATACATATTGCCTCCATCAGGACAACAGGGGAACCTATAGTTCCTTCATACTGCCATTCCTATTACTACATGACTGGTAGAGTCCTGTAAAACAAACAATGTTTAAGGGTGAACTGCTGGCAAGGTTAGCCTAACGGTCAGCCAGCCATCTACCTTCCCAAAGGCTTCAGCCATTGGATGGGATATACAGTCTAATGTTATCCTTAATGAAAGTAAGATCTGCCTCTGAGTAAACAACAGAATTTCCAACTGCCACAAGTAAAAATTAGCTGGTCAAAGTACATTATAGGTTGTCAGAGTACCTTGGTTTTATATAGTATCTTCCAAATAGTCAATTTTTCTGTAAGCATGAAGTGCAAATCCCTGGCCATCAACACTGGGAAGTGTCTTCCTTAAACAGATTTCCAAATAAAGCAATAAAATAGAATAGACTCCTTCTTAAGAGTCTATTTTTGTAATTAACCAGACACATCTTTAAAAAAGTAAAGTAAAATCAACAGCCATCTAAATTTAAACATTGGGTTATATTCCTTTAAGCAAGAGACATTGAGAGTTATGTTCTCTTTTTATCTGGAGGGCTGCCTCAAGGGTGAGGAAGAAGGACGCCTGCGGGCTTGGTCCCACTTATAGCCAAGGTTCATCCTGTGGGGTCCATAGGACTCAATATGTCCAGATGCACCCATGAGGTTTCCGTGTAGCCAAGAACCAACTGCAGGCAACCATGTCATCAGAAGGCAGGAGGACTCATGCTGACAGCTGCCCTTGCACAGACACCTCCCCTGCACTAGAGAAACAGCTGAAGAGGCTTGAGTATATGCATAAAGGCAAGAGCAAGCTTAAGTCACTCACTGAATAGAGATACACTTAATGGCTTGCCACTGATCTCAATTTTTATATTACACACAAAGCAGATGTTAAAATGAAACAGTTTTCCTGCATCATCCATAAACCTCTATAGAAATATTCTCACAATCTTGAGGTGTTATCACTTTGTATTTTCAATTTAAAAGGCTTCAGTTTGCAAACCACTGTGAGCTAAACAGCAAGTTAAAGCTAGTCTGTATTTCACTTTATAACACAGTGAATGATTGCGATGTTTTGGAGAATTTGATTATGTATAACATGATTAATTCCACAAGACCGAATCATTGTAACACAGTGTGTGCATGAAATTCACTACGTACAGATACACCACTGGTTAGAAAGACTCAGATAAGCGTGTAAGTCCAGACGGCTGGCTTGCTAGGCACAAACTCCAAAAGCTAAGAGGGTATAGTAATTCCTCAGCAGAAATTCTCTGTTTTCAGAACCAGCACAGCTAACTTGTTTCAGTAAAGTCTACCAATAATGCCAGAGCAGTTTCATGGTAAAAATATTTCTATCCTAGAACTGTGATGTTTTAGATTTTTATTAAGTTTTAGAAGAAGAAAAATAAAAATAAATAAAGAGTAATCTGTCATTTTATATGCCCCTTAATATGAGGGATTGTGTTTCATGCATGCTGTTTTTTCCTTACTAATTTTTTTTTTTTCCCTGTGCATCTGTTCACATGCTGGAATAGAGGAAACAAAAATATCAAGATTACACTGAAGAGAAAACCAGGGAATTGTGGGTGCACCTGTCAGCCACTACAGGTCACAAAGTAATTCCATTTTATGCTAGTCAGATTTCTGCTCTAAGGTAATAAAATCTGGAATCAGCAGCTATTTACAATTCTTTGAGCAAAAGCCTATAAACTTCACCCCTTCCAGAGGTTAGCATCCCATGACTAGCAATATCAGTTCTTCTGATTTTCAGGCAACTAAAAAGGCTTTGAGTTCCACTCCAGAAAAAGTCTACTTTTAGTTTTGAAAAATCATTATGTTGTCTATATTATAATTTCATCTAAAATGTCCACAAAGGTACCTAGCAATGATACTATAAATATACACTTAAGTGTGTATATCTGAAGTCTTCTGTTAAAGCATAAGGTTCTGACATGGTAAAATGCCTTAAGCAGATAGGATTTACTCAACACAAAAAAAGGTTTGCACATACATTTTTAACTGCTTTCCTTCCATTGAAAACAGTTAACTTTGGCTATATTGTAAATCTAAATTGACAAGGCCTTAGCTCTGAACAATTTACATGAATTTAATTTCTATTCCCAGTCTAGCGTGAACCTAGGAGGGCTCATGAACATAGAACTTTTAATCTAACCACAGCTGAGAAACATTTTGCCTCTCAGGCTTCACAGTTAAAGAAAGTACATCTCTTCTGAGAGATGTAACATTCTCCAACAACAGTATCACAAGACAGGACAAGATGGGTGTTCATGTGCAAGTGTCTACGTGGAGAGAAATGGAGAACGTGCGGCTTCTACCTAATCTTGCCTTTCCTCATTGCTGCATGAAATAAAGCAAATTCTGTGCTTTCCCAGCCGTAGGGATTATATTTCTACTACTCACTATGATATTTGTGCGAAGAGGTGGTAAAGGATTATTTTCTTACTATATTTCATGATAATAAAAGAACTGAAATATTTGACTTGCTCTCATTATGCATATATTTCTGATTTGTTTGGTTAAAAAAAAAAAAGCAGCAGCAATGTGACCTGGTATACAGATATACCAATCAACAGCTATTTTTCAAAGATGCCGGTAAATTCAAAGTTGCTAAAGGAATCTTGAAGATGTCAGTGCAATGAATTCTGTACTGCAAGAATATCTAAGGTCAAATAATCACAAGACAGCTGTTTAGTGCTTCTTTCTCTATTTTTGGATAACAAGATGCATATTATAGCATTTCTTTATACAACAAAACAGCTAGATGTCCCAGATAAATATTATTCATAAGCGTTTCTGAATTATGAGAATTTTCAGATTTGCTCAGATTTTAGATATAAAAATCAAAGCATTTCATTACAGTTTTAAAGTTCAAATCTTCACATATGACTGCTAAGTCTTAGTCAAATTATGGAAATCCTGATCAATTTAATAAAATTTGCTATTACACTGGAATTTTACTGTTTAGACCAATTTATATTGTAAATACTAGAATAAAGAAAAAAATTTATGTTAGTTTTATTCTTGCATTATTGAAAATTAAAATGTGAAAACTGTTCCTATGTGTAATAGTTTATAAATATTTCTATTTTTCATGTAACTTTACTTGATTTCTGCTGTGTATTTTGTCTTTTTCCCTCCCAATAAAAGATGAATTCCAACAGCTCCCTTTGAAAAAAAAATAAAAAAATTAATTGTTGTCTTCCCATGGCTTTTTAAAAACAA